TCCAATCAATACAATCCAGAATGTTTGACAACAGAAACGTATTTTTCCCTAGAGAGTTAAAGAGGTGAACAATAACTGTGTTAGCAACAGGGTTGCTTAGAGACATTCACATCGTTCAATACAGCAATGTAGTCACATTCCAAATCGCTGCAAATATGCACTAGCATTTATTCTAGCCTTCACCACCTGCAGAATTAATCGCCTACTCAAATCAATACGATCTAGAATTTAAAATGTTCGACAAAAGAAACGTATTGTTTCCTATAGTGACTTAAAGAGGTGAACAATAACTGTGTTAGCAATACGGTTGCTTGACATATTGACATCGTTCAATACAGCACTGTAGTCACATTCTCAGTCCCTACATTATGCATTAGCATTTATTCTATGATACTATCGAGCAGACGATACAAACCACGTTTTATTCTCTTGGCATGATTTTGTGTCTCAGGGGCACCGTGACGTTGTTACCGAGATGCCCCCCCCCCATCTCGACACCGAATCCTCAAAAGGCTGACCACATTAATACCTACAAAATAGCCACGAAATGTATTAATATTTAGATTTGTATTTACTATTTTCCGATTCAAAATGGCCGCCATGTGCTGCCACGTTTAATACAGAAAATTGCTCAGCAAAAATTGTAAGTATGTGTCGTATTTCCGGTACGGTAGATTGGGCGAGCTAGATTTTTCAATATTTATGTTTTTTTATATTTAATGACGTTTCCTTTGCTAAAAACATATTCATTTTACTAATCATTTAAAATTTTACAGAACCTTTGTATATGTATTCAAAACAGAATAGCTCAATTTACCCGTATGTAGTCAGTAATCAATATAATCAATATAATATATCGACAATTGCGTCGCATTGTGTGTATTACGTGTACGTTTGTTGTGTATGCGTATGCATACTCTTTGTACTACGTAAAATAATGTGTGTATTACATACATGCGCTATGTGTATTACTTAATGATATTCATTGAGTAATGAGTACGTACACGTGCGATATTACTGTAAAACCATTTATTTTCACTGACATTTAATTTCACTATTTTGATGTTTTGAGCATATTAATTGTAAATTAATTTCACAAATTTGTCAAGGAAACAATAAGCTTATTGTTATTTTATATGTTCACGTAGATTTAATTTAGCGAATTTTACTTATCCGTCAACGAAAATTGCAAAATTAAAAACCAGTGAATTAATTAACAGTATATACGGGTCGTTATAATATATCGTTACTGTTATAGTCCAATCGATTATTTTCACGAATGCTTGATAGCCCTTCTAAATCTCACATCACGCAGAGTTCTAACCGCAAGGAACTCTGGGAAGGAAAATGAGCCTCTCTATCATGACTGTCAAGCTCGTTGTATTGCTAATGAGGCTGATATTGTGACTGAGAGTAAGGGCGGTCGATTTTTCTGGACGGGGAATAAAATAGCAAAATAAATCAAGCCTGCAAAAAATAGCTATCGAAAAAAATATGATTTCTCAGAACAGCACAGAAATGTGCCCCTAGAAATTGTACAATAATGTAAAACCCAGACAGTTGAAATGCCAGTCGACTCCATAAATCCGAGACGTCGCGACTTCGCCTGAATGTGATCAGTTGTCGAAGCATTGCCATATTTTTTATCATTGCCCAGTCAAGAAAAAAATTAAAACGGAGGGGTCGTCACGAGCGCATAGAATTGCGCGGGAATTGAGTCCCAAGCAACGATAACAACGTACTTGTACGCTAAAAACACAAAGGTTCATGGGTAGACGCTTGTTTGTAAACAACGACACGTTATTACCGTTTTCCGCATGCGCAGGTGATGCTTTAAAGCGGGGGGGGGGGTCGTCACCTGCGCACGCGCGAGAATTGAGAGCCAAGCGACGCTTACAACACACGCTAAAAACGTAAAGGCTCATGGGTAGACGATTGATGGTAAACGATGACAAGCTATGACCGTCTGACGCATGCGCAGGTGATGACTCTCCCGCTTTAAAGATACAATATGGACGAGAACATTTAATTTTTAATGTTGTTGTTTGATACTTTAAGTTAAAGAATACGTCTGATTATGATGTACATGACATGAAAACGTACCATAATAATGAATACTTTTTTGTGTCCTGCAATTTTAAAGGGCGGTGGTCGTCGCGCTGCGCATGTGCGACATTTGTGTTGATAAACATTGATTTACCCACAATCCAATGCGCTCTTGTAATGGAAATCACAAGTATGATGTCTGACCTGGGTGCAACTTGCACTAATTACCGCTGGCGACTCTTTCGATACTTTCCAATCACCTAAAAATACTTAATTAAAGCTTAGTATCGTCTCAGTTTGTACTCGCTGGTCTGCGCAAAGGTCAAAGTCGCCATCCTTGTTTATATAAGACCAATATATCTCACGCATGCGTGGCGCGACGACTACCGCCTTTTAACATTAATGAGTGTTCGTAACGGCCGCTTCTTGGTGAGTATCGTGCGACAAATGCGACTTGAGTAAAATACATTGGTGTTTTTACGCGAAATTTGTACTGCCGCGCGCTGTGATATAGGACGCTGCACGCAAAAAACTAGGACAAAGAAATGTGATCATGTTTTCAAAACGTGTTTCCAAAGATGCTACCTATCACCACTCCAATTACAATTTCTTTTGAGATATCTGATATACAAAATAATTCATCATTCGAAACATGCCTTTTGAAATGTTCTGCGGTAACCTCTTATACTTTAAAATCACTAATTCTTCACGAGGCTTCATTTTCACAGTTTTTGAAGCTACAGTGAATTTCATGAAGGCATGACTTTTTCATTGAAATTTATAAAGTATTTATAAAAAATCTACCCTGGAAGATCCACGCGCTTTATTTAAATCTAAAGACCACGCTTTCATTGGCTACTGAAATTTATTTGGTAACGCTCATGGCACGTCACAAGTTATTGCGGGTTCCGATTTACTGTCGAGCAACCGTTGATGCGGATTTGTCAAATTGTTCCCGATTCTCATTTGTAATTTATAAAACATTTGTAAGTAATTTATATAAAAACATTCATGCCTCATGATATTCACTGTTACAGTACTAAAAGAAGTGGAATTTTCCAAATTAAATGCACGTTTGACATGTAAAATTGCGATAGAACTCAGTGATTCATTACGAGGTGTGCTCGAAATATAAATACACTCTTCATCTTTATAAATATTCATAAATTTCACATTTCAAACTGAAACGAAAGGTTTACATTGGCCGGTTAAATGAATTGCACGTTTTCAAGTGACGTCGTTGTACAGTGTGCTCGTTGATTGGCTGGTTTGTTTCAACTGCCATTGCAATTTATAAATATTTATAAAGATGACGGTACGCCTTTGTTGCGCTGAGAGTATATTGTGGGGTTCATTTTGCCCCCGAATTGAACCCGTTGGCGTCACAGTCAAAACAAAACAGAAGATTTTAATAATCTACGTGGAACGTATATACAAGCACGTCTGCTAATAGCAAGCCGGCTCCCAGCTGTCAGCTGCGATCCAATTTGTTTATTCAAGTCCAATTGTTATAATGTTGAGCGAAGCATGAATTGATCAGTCTATCTAGACAGCGCTAGGCAGGACGGGACATTTGCGTCAATGATAGGTACCCCGTAGTTTGGTATGAAGACAAATTCGTGTTTTCGGAAAAATTAAAAGTGATTAAGACGATTCTTACACATCTGAAAGATTTTATTCTGTATTTTTTTATAATTTTTATGAAAAAAATCATAAGGCATGAATGTTGATTTATAAAAAAAATACCCTGATGCATCCTCACTTTTCGTTCAAATCCAATGAATAGGGTAACGTCTATTACCCATGAGTCTTTACGTGGTTCCTTCAACCATTGGTCGATACTGCCATCTCCGTTAGTGTTGTGATTGGTCAGGTTGTTTTCAACCGTCGTTTGCAATTTTTTATCATTTATATAAACATTTTACAAAGCAAGCATCCACACCATCATAAAATTAACTGTAGGCGGAGACTTCGGCGGTTTCTTACAAACGTGTCACTTTTTTACACGTTTTATGCGCGTGGGTGTCGACATCGTCTGCGACTAATATTGCGATCCCCGCCAAATATGGGAAAAAATATAGTCACGTGACACGCCCGCGACATATTGCATAACACAATCAGTAAAAATAATGAACAGTCGTCGAACATCGTAACTCTCGTGTGTTGACACTAAACTCAATTATTAATTTCCCTATGGCAATTTCAGTCGCGGTTATTTTTTTTAGCAGACAGCTTCCCATCGAAAGCCATAACATTTAAAAGACCGTATTACAACACATGATCTAATCTGAGGCTGGACATTTCGCTCTGTCTCAATACCATGAACACGTACATTATAACATACAGTACAGTTACTCGAACGTTCTTGTAGTTGTGCCCCCCGTACACACAGTAGAATGTCACCTAGCCTGAGATAAATTATTATGAACTCATAAAACAATAACATCTATAAATAGCTTATGATGCCACGTTCAAATTCAGTCAAAGCAAAATTCAAGAACCGTTGTTCGTGAAACTGAAATGTTGAAGTGTACCACGACTCGCCTAGAACAATTTATTTTGATTGCCATCAGATCGTCACGACTACCTTCCACTAAAAGGTCGCGTAACCACGCAACGAATCCCACTCGTCATCCCACTGCGATGAACTACATATTTTCGACTCAGAGCTTTCATTTTTTTAAAATTATAAAAAATAAAAACGAGTTAAAATTTCGGTATACCGATGAAACTGGGTTCAATCGATGGTATAAGGATTCGCGTTAATCGACTTCATGTTTGCACCGTTCCGTCGACTGCGGCGACTACATTAATAGGCTTGACTGCTCGACTGAAATCGACAGCACGGTCTGTGTCACGTGCCTATGGAAGACATAGTCGTATAATATATTTGTAGTAAATGTTAAAATGGCACAAAATCGTGTTTTGCTTGGATATTAAATGTATATTCTTACCTGTTCGCCTGTCACACATATGTCCGGTTTAATCGACTACCCTCTTCCCGCCTCACCCGGCATGTGCCGACCTAATATGCCTAATGTATCTTATCCGTGGAAAAGATATTGGGAAAGACCGGATCTACGTCATCGGATTCCTTAGGTGCATGTGGTTTAGACGATGTAATTTATGTATTGTGACGTAGTGTCGTCTGCTTAATATTCGTCAACCATTTTTTAAAATAATTATTCATTTTTTCCGAAAGACACCACAGTCGATGAAATCGTTGTCAGTGTGAAAATCAATGATGACAAAAAGCAGAAAGTGTGTTCATATTATTTCAATTTTTTATGCAATTTTCAGCTGAAAATGACTCCCATTTTAGAAACATTTTGGCTAGGGTCTTCCCTACTCGGAAAAATACGTGACTACTCTTATCACGAGGGCAAAAGACATTGTTTGTCGTCGAGAAATATTTGGCGAGACAGTACAGAACTGACTGTCCCATCTAATCGACCAATGTGACCTTCAGCGGTCACGTAGCGGATTTAAGTACATGTATGGCCGCGGACAAAGTGTTCAAGTTAATTGTCCTCATACTAGCGCATGCGCGGTAAATAATAGTTATATATCCGTGCAGAGTTCATCCGAGGTAACGATGCGGAGAACACGGATAAGACGTAGAGACATTTCGTTGATCCCGTGGAATGTATGTCACGTGAATTATAAGTTACTATATACATATACAGGCGAAAATAATTAAAAAAAACGGCTGTTACGGCCCGACCTGATTTCAGTTCGGTAAAATAGGGTAACTCGCATAGGATGGAACTGTAGCTCCATGGTTTCGCGTTAACACCACGACGAACGAAATAACCGGCAGCGAAACCAAGTGAGCTACAGAACTGCAGCTAGTATAAAACGGGATGTGAAGCAGACTACAAACGTCCGCTTTTCCTGGCGTCATTTCGCCTCTAGAGGGCCAGTCAAATGACGTCATCAGTGAACACTGATAATTGAACCTATTCATGCTGGTACGTCAATCCCATAGAAATGCTACTATGAAAGACCTTGTTAACTGACTACTTAAAAGTTGAAACATGGCGAGGTGTTGTGTTATGAATGCCATAACGATTCATGTTATGTTTCTCGAAATCCCAAATAAAAAAATCACGTTGTTGGTTGCGAGAAATCGGCAGAAGAACAAACCTGAAAATGAAGACACGTACAGCGCTCTAGCTATAGTAAACAGTGAGTAAATAAATATTGTTTGAGTTAAAAACTAAATTAGAAATACGCTAATATCACTTGAACTACAGTAATCATTTCGCCCAACTTCCCACTTTTAATCGACCGCTTATCGCTTAATTTCTGACCGTACTGTATTTTCCGACCGGAAAACACCGATCTGTCGCCCAAACACTGGTCATTGGCACAGGAGTGATCGAAATAGTGGTTTTGAGTGGTACAGTTTGGGGATACAACGGGTACTACCTATTATTAAATTCCAAACTACTCTTCAAATCTATACCACATTGTATCTCTGCGGACGAAACTTCACCTGTGTCCTATATTAAATAACTGACTTTGCGTTATTATTATGAAAGCGATATATTACAATGTTGACATTTTTAGAGCCGGTACAACATTGTAAACAAATTTGCGTAATTAAAAAAGCAGCGCACTAAGTAAACGATCTCAAAATATACAAGTTTGCGTACAGCACTGTCAGAACTAATAACAATTTTACAAGATCGACGCGCTGAGCCTGAAAGAAAAATATTGCTGAGGTAATAGAGCGGCAGCCCAGAGCATTTTGATCAAACGAACGAGGTACCAATATCTGAACACATGAGCATTCGTGGTGTAACCTAACATATGCAAATATGGATGTCTGCCGGGGACCACCTGCTGCGTGTGGCCCCTGGGGGGCCTCTAAGAGGGGCCAAAAATGCACTCGATTAAACATTGGAGGTACCACCCCAAACCAATTTCAAATTAACAGGTACATCACACAGAGTATAAAATGGCTCCTGCCAGACAAATTTTTTGCTGCATTAGGCCCGACAGACGCCCCAAAAGGACCCTCCAAGATTTGGGCTAGATCAAACATTGGAGGTACCACATGAAACCAATTTCAAAAGAATGAGTACATACCACAGAGCTCAGACTGTTCAATGCAATACAAATTATCCACTGCATAGGGCCTGCCAGACAGTCTCCAAATGTGACC